GTGTTATGTGTATTAAAAGTACTCTTTTCTGGTTATTTTTAATTAGACACATGTAATTTCTCTGTTWAAACTACAATAAATAAATAGATATACCTAAATAATATTTGTTAACATATTTAAATAATTCAAATTTTGGTACTGAATCTTTTTCATGCAACCACTATAGTATGATAAGTAGTTGATTTTTTTAATATTTTGAACTTTTATAACATATATTGGAACATTTCTAAAACGAACAAAAATAGGTACTTACATTTTTTTTTTTTTTTTGAAATAATAACATTATAATTAATATACCTAGTATAAAATATCCTAGATTTACAAACTGTATCCGCTCAGAATTGTTTTTTGTATTAAATTCACTATATGATTGAATTCAAGTTTAATATCAAACATTACGGCAACCCACTTGTAACCTGCTGCACAGTAGAGCGACATCCGCTTACCTGCATTTTTTTGTTTGATATTTTAAAATTAAATAAGTCATAGAAAAACATCGGGAGGAGAGTTTCCCACTTGACATCAAGACATTAATAGTCCAACAAAATTAAACAATAATCAAGATTCAGGCAACTATGATTATCAACTTTTGATAATAATAAGGCCACAACCACAGTATACATTTGACTTTTATTAGTTTTATTGTCACATTGTATTTATTATATTATGGTACTATACTCGAGACTGACTAATTGGAATRATTGACATAAGTCAATAATTTAAAAAACGTTAAGTGCTCAACTTCAATATCCATGGTTCCACTATATGATTCTCCTGTGTTTATGCTACTACTTTTTAATAATAGCAAGCAGTATTCTCAGCATACACACCTGTTACTAAGATAGACTAATCACTCTGTACACATTGACACAATTTTATCAATGCTTCTATTATGATATCAAGTACTCTAATACAGTGGTTGCCACTTATAGTGATCAGTGATCACATTCGACACATTCGTTCAAGAGTACTTTGATCACTATAACCAGAAATTACTGTWAGTGGCGATTCAAAAAAAAAAAGTAGAAAATAATGTAACAATGTTTAAATATTAAAATTATATTTATGCATTATTATTATTTTTTATTTATTATAGTTTTAATATTTTTATTTTTATACTATACATACAGTACACTGATTGACAGGCAGACTAAAACAAACTGCATATAAAGTGTAAAATATTAGTGCTTGTGARAACAAAAACTGTTTYGAACATGTACGAATGTACGATATTATGAAGTATCGCTCATTATGTGTGTTACATTAGATAAGATTAGCTCGATTAAAGTACATAATTAGGATAATTGTCATTTGTAATCGTTTTCTCTGTACACAAAAAGAGGTGATATTATTGTAAATTATATTTATATTTTATATTTCTGATCACAATAA